ATCACTGTACAGTGCTGTAAGAGTGCTGTGATGTGCTGAAATTAATTATTTGGAGAGTTGTGATGTGCTGAAATTAATGATTTGAAGTGTTAGTTGTTGCCCGGTGTCGTAGGAAACCATAGAGTTGCTGTTTGAAGTTCCTAGCCGCTGCCCGGTGTCGTAGGGACGCTGTAGGGTGCTGTTCAATGCTTCTAGCCGTTGCCCGGTGTTGTAGGAATGCTGTAAACTGCTGCCCATTGCTAATTAAGGGCTGTTTGGAGCATTTGGGGGCCGTAGGAGTGCTGTTGGAGCCTTGGGAGGGCTGTTGGAAGCTTCGAAAAGGCTTGGGAGTGTTATTTGGGCTTTGAATTTGTCGTTTGGGAGCTTTATGAGATGTAAAACTGCTGCCCATTGCTAATTAAGGGCTGTTTGGAGCATTTGGGGGCCGTAGGAGTGCTGTTGGAGCCTTAGGAGGGCTGTTGGAAGCTTAGAAAAGCCTTGGGAGTGCTGTTTGGGCTTTAAATTTGTCGTTTGGGAGCTGTTTGAGATATAAGACTGCTGCCCATTCCTAATTAAAGGCTGTTAGGAGTGTTTGGAAGTTGTAGAAGGTCATAGGATCGCCGCACAAACCTACTAGTTGCTGCCCCGAGGTGTAAGAGCTGTAGGACCGTTGTCCAATGCCTCTATTTGCTGCCCAGTGTCGTAGGAAACCTCCTAGTAGTCGTCTATCACGATTTGGGTTCGTAGGAAGCCACTGAGAAGTTGCCCACCATGATTTGGGTTCGTAGGAAGCCACCGAGGAGTTGCCCACCATGATTTGGGTTCGTAGGAAACCTCCTAGTAGTCGTCTACCACGATTTGGGTTCGTAAGAAACCACGTAGGAGATGTCTACCACGATTTGGGTTCATTTGGAAGCCATTTCGTTGCTGCCCACCTCTGTTCGGATTCGTAGGAAGACGTATAGGTGCTGCCCTTTGTTGTTTGGGTTCATAGGAACTCATACAAGTGTTATTCGAAGTTCCTAGCTGTTATCCGGAGTTGTAGGATCACCGTATACATTTGCTAGCTGCTTACCGGAGCCGTAGGAGATCGTAGGATCACCATACTAGCTCGCTAGTCACAGTAAAGAGTTGTAGGAGGCCTTAGGATCACCTCCTATGAGTTTCTTGTTATTGTTACAACTTGTTCAACTGTTCTCTGCAATTTATTTAAATTTCCTGCAAATTATATTGTGTTTTGTGAGTTGAACATGCAACAGGGATAACAGCAGTAGATATGTCACGTACGCAGGTACATTTTATTTGTTGTTGTTTCTTTATTGCAATTATTGTTGCTTTAACACGTCATCCAGGTACTGAATACAATCTCACTTTCAAAACAAAATAATTTTTAAAAATTAAACAACTTTTTTGAAAATAAAAACAAAAAAAACAAAAATAACACGTTCTTTCGAACTTACGGGAGTCCCTCGGAGGAGGTAACCCACGGTTGCTAACGAGATCTCCCCGGTTTAAATGGGTTTCATAACTCGTTTAAACTAAGTTTAAAAGAAAATAGTGATACCAGAAGGAGGGAATCGTGGGATCCTAACCGGTGGCGCTCTAATCAACTTGAACCCCCCATTGACAACCAAATTGAGACATTGAAACCCACCTGATAAAATTGTTTGAGCTTTAGACTTTAGGACTGTTACAGCGACGAGGAGCTCGGAGCAACTTCGTGGGTAGCACGACAATGAGTTTGGAGCGAACTACAGGTGGAGATGGTCGCCACTCTACAACAGCAGAACGAGTCTGCACCAACTGACCTTTCCTACTTTAAACAACCCATAAGGTTTCGAGGTAGCTCGCCTAGCGTGACGTAAATCCTCACACTTTCTTTTTAGGCATCTGTACAATCATGTTGTGCAGCGTAAGTCCTAACTCGACTTAGGTTCCGAGTACGACGCAAACCCTCATATCTCTGTGGGTTATTTGCATAATCAGACATTATGCAAGTTTAAGTCCCAAATAATAAAACTGACAGGATCAAACACTTAATTAACGTCGTCTCCAAAAATGTAGCCACATCGTAGGATAGTCTGGGATGTCACTGATGTTTCTCCTCAGGATCTATGACATCTCCTAGCTGTTCCTTCCTTTAGACTCCTGAAATAACTGTTCCTATTTGAGTCACTCTCACTTGCTTTTCCACGTCCTACCTTGAAAACCTGAACTTTGAATTCTTGAAGACTAGAATCACTGATCATTATCGAGATTTTTCTCAAGTGATTCTCGTCACTTGAGATGTAATTAACTATAGGGGCTTGCCTCTATAGGGAACTTGAAACCCAGGTAAAATAAACCATATTTAATCTTTCTATTAAATAGGGGAATTTGTCGGTCATATATAAAAGGTTCGGAGACCAAATGGATGTCACAAATCTCTTAGTTTGCAGGATTGGGACTATTATCGGGGTTACACTTTTCTCTTGGAATGTGTAGTATTCATGGTGTCAGGCACGATTATGCAAATTATTGGACGAATGAGATCTATTTGTATTCATATTTTCACATAAAACATACTACTTTCAAAACCTAATACTACTTTCAAAACCTAAACCTTTCAAAACCTAAACTATATACCTCTTATTATATTAAATTAAATTTCAAAAATTATTTTCATATTCATATTTTCACATAATCAATCGAAAAGTTGACCGACAGTGGAGTTATTTTCTCTTTTTTGAGGAGGTGATACTGCTCTGATTGTATCCTACTCCGAGGTGGATATGTATCTTCCATTTTCATCTTCCCTAACTAAAGGAGTAAACGAGTCGAACATGTTCGGCTCGTTTATATTTCGAGCTCAAAAAGTGTGTTCGTGTTCGACTTGTTTGCTTAGAGAGCCGAACACGAGCCGTTGACGAACAAAGTTGTTTGTATTAAAACATCATTTGAATCTAATTTAATAAATTTTATTCTATTTTCTTAATTAATACTTATAATTGGTTATAGATCTTTATAGCCTTGTAGTCAATTACGTTTTTTAAAAATACTACTATATATATATATATATTGATTAGTAGTATTTCGAGGAAAAATGAGCTGAGCACAAACGAACAAACATTTGTTCGTGTTGTTTGTGTTCAGCTCGTTAACTTAGCAAAAGAGTCGAGCACAAGCTTCTTAACAAGTCGAACAACAAGCTGTCTTAACAGTCCTACATCCCAACACACAACTGCCCTCTCCTAACAACAAAATCGTGTTGTCCAACAGTCCAGACTTCCTCCCAGCACTCAGCTCGCCTTCCCTATGGCATAACCTTGCTATCTAGCTTCCCAGACTTCCTCCCTATACCCAGCAGACCCTACCCTTCCTCCTAGTACCCAACCGACCCTTCCCTGAGGCATAACCTTGTTATCCAGCTTCCCAGACTTCCTACCAACATCCAACCAGCCCTTCCATGTACCATAACCTGTTGTCCAGCTCTTGGGTTCAGGATTTAGGGTTTAAGGTTTAGGGTCTAGGTTTAGGGATGTTTGCTTGTCTCGTTCATGTTGTATGTTGTTATTTTTTGTTGTTTTATGTTGTAACCCTCTCTCTAAATTAATAAAAGTTTGTTGTGTGTTTCTTTTGTTTTTCTAATTAGTTCCGGTATCACATCTTCACTGCTCAAGTGTCGAAATGATTAAGAGAATCATTCAACCCTTCTCTCTTAATCTTTTGGAAAGTTAACAATGGTTTGTTAGGTTTCAGAATAAAAAATGGATTCAAGATATCCCCATTATCAATTGTTTACAAAGACTTGCTTCAAATTGCTTGGAACCCAAATTGCAAAGTCACATCTCAATTTGTTACAACTGGTTAGTGAAATTACCAAAAAAGAATGATTCCTACAAATGAAGAACTATGAAAAACATTCATTATTCTTCATGAGATTCTCCAAGTTAGATTAATGAAAAGGAAAAGATTCAATGTTAAGTATCTTTACCATTCTCGTTCCAATAGCGGAATCGTCACGGCTTACATCTCAGCTCTAGTTACAAAGGTCCAAATAACTCTTTATAATTTTCGGTTTGTGAATCAGGAAGTTAATCTTTCCCATCAATTCCACTATATTAGTTGGGTTGTCTTTCCTTGAGAAATTACAAAGTATATCCTCTTTAAGTTGAATAAATTTCCCTCTAAATAGTTTTGGATTTTCAAGTTTCATTCTAAAATTGTTTCTCATATTTTTCTCAAGTATAATCATGCAGAACATATAGGTAAGATTGCATAAACACTTCGACTTCAACAATACAGCGAATTATATTTCTTCCCCTATTACTTCTTGGAAGGGTAGTAATGTTATTGTTGCATACAGACACATACTTTTTTACTTACAGAGCTTCGAGCATTTGAAATGAGAAAAATATGAGGTTTCCAAGAAAGAAGAAAAAGATAATTGGTAACCTGGCTTAATATCAATTCTCAAACTTATTAGTGGATTCATACTTGCAAGGGCTAACAAGTTGAATTCATTGAAGACAATGAAAATGCTCTTGGCTTCCAAGATGACCCCAAGCATCTCTTAAAAATTTACGATTACATTTTCCCTCTTAACTTATTCAAACAGATGAGCCTAGCACAATCTTCGGGATAAATATATAGCTATAATGTTCTCGACCAAAAGAAGAAAGTAAAAGAAATAATAATAACTAATTACTGCTAACAAAAATAAAATTAAAAAAAAGGCAGGCATTTTTATAAAATAAGGAGCCACGATGTGTCACTAAATGATGCATTGGCAAAATTTGTCGTCACTGCTAACAACTTTTCCTAAGGATTATGCAACTTTTCGAAAGATTATGCAGTTCAGCTTACTGAAAAAAAAACAATTATGCATATTTTTTTAAAAAAAATTAGCCAAGCAGTACTGGAAATATGCAGAACAGACACCAATATAAAAATAAAAAATAATTAAAAAGGTTACTCATTTCAGAATAGCATGTACATTGAACAACTTACCACACTATTAATGCAAAAGGACTTAAACTTACCTTCTCACCGCCAGATAAGTTGGCAATATTCTTCCAGCTCTTCTTTGGGGGCCTCACGCTGAAAACTACGCCCTCGGCGAAGGGATCAAGAGAATCAACGAGCTCTAGTTCAGCATCACCTCCCAAAGTGATCATCTGCAAGGAAATATTCATGATTTATTTGAAGCTACATGCACCAGTGGCAGGCGTTTTGCAACTAAATTGAAAATGAACAAAAGCCTGCATAAATAATTACATATCAACAAATACTTTTCAGAATATTCCAGTAGTAAAACCTGGTACATTTCTTTCAACTTTAGTGATATAATGTTGAATCCTGTCATAAACTCACTGCAAAAAAAAAAAAAAGAAAAGAAAATCAACAGCATGTTCTAATATATAGTCCTACTAAAGAAAGCTCTTCAAATTACAAAAAAAGTTTGGAATCCATACTAAATTTCTACTAACCTTTTCTTCCTCAACCCATCATACAGTTTTTTAAGATCATCCCGTTCCTGAGTTGCAGCATTTAGCTCTTGCACACGTTCATTATATAATAGCACCTTTTTCCGGTATCTGTAAAGATGACTGCAACGTCAAGATATTTCAAAAGCAAAAAAAATTCGAACTTTGCATTCAATTTCTTATGCATACTCAGAAATCGAATCCAGGTTGGGGCTCATGTCTTTCAACTGAGCTTCTAACAATGCCACCATTTCTGTTGCTCTTTTGAGATCGAAAACATCACACGATGAGACATCAGTGAGAGTTGCTTGAAGCTTGTCTGGATCAATAGCATCACTTTGCATCCTGGGACGTTTACATCATTCAATTTTCTAAATAGATTTAGCCAAAAGATAAATAAGCAAACAAAAAATACTTTAGTAGATTTCCATGCATACCACTCAATTAATATGTCTTTACATATCCAACATCTAAACTTCAATTTTTACATATATGACACCTTGTCTATGCATGAAAGGTGTATCTCACTTTTAAAAGTTAAAATAGGGGTACTGTTGATGTTTTATAAAGGTATAAATGTTAAAATTAAAGTTTGGGTGTCAGAAATGTAAATAAATAAGAATTGGTTAGTGCGTATGTAAATGCCCCAAAAAGTTAATTGGCTTACTGATCCAACTGTTTTCCAAAATCCTTGACAATATCATCAAGTCTCTTCTTGAAACCCTTTACCTTCATTTCCCACTCTTTCAATACCTTTTTAATGTCTTGTAATTTATAATCATTGTCAACCTGTTGGCATTGCAAAGAAACAGTCATTCACCTGTTGAGAAAAAACAAAATGTGGATTTAAACAAGGTAAGAAAAAACCTCAGCTGCGCGCAGCACATCCAAGCCTTTCTTTAATTTATTATATTCAGCCTTTGCTTCATCTAAAACATCCTTGTGCTTGTCAATGAGCTGAAAGGTATTGAAGCATCAATAACTAGTAACCAGCATGACAATGCAAGATGATAGCTACCATGAAATCCAGCGAAGAAACACAAAAGTAAATATGAAGTACCGCTTGAGTATTTTTATAATTTTCTTCGACCTCAAATGCCTTTTGCTCTATTATTTTAAAAGAAGCTTCCATTTTTTCCTTCTCATCAATTAGAGTTTCTTTCTCTTTCTTCAACTCTTCAATAGACTTGATCAATTTCTTTGTCATTTTATCACCAGCAGCTATCTTAACCTTCAACCGGTTGACCTCACTGCCAGCTTTGTCAATGTCCTAAGATTTAGAATCAAAAACATTAGGAAAAGAAAAGGAGTAAAAACCCTAGATAGCAACATAAATATTCACTTACAGATTGGATTTTTGAGACCTTCAGTTTCTGAATTTTAAGTGTTTCACCACCAGCGTTTTCTATCTTATTCTGAAGTTCCATAGCCTTTGAGCACAAAAATAAGCAGAGGAACATAAGTATACATCCAATCTACTATTAAAGATATGGATGCCATTATTTTGAGTTGAGTCTTATCAAAGCAAGAGGTGCATAAGGCAAACCAACGAATGTGGAATGGGCTTGGAACATTTTCTAGCAAGTGAAGACCAACAAAGAAAGAGGATGACCTGAACTTCCATAAACTAGATTTCAAGAAAAAAAAATCAATAAGCAACAATATTTCATGTTTGCAACCCTGATCGGTGGATTCATGAGACTCCATTTTACTGAGGTAAAAGCCTCATAGTGATGATGACGAAAAATCTAAATCCGACTCAATAGTGCACATCACAGATTTTAAGGAACAAGAAGATGAAGATTCACGCAAAACTACTTACTTGATCTTTAAGTTTATTAGAGCATTTGGAAAGTTTGTTCACTTCCTTCTCCTCTGAAGATATAATATCTTCTAACTCCTTAAGCCTACTCAGCTCATCATTTTTTGGTTCTGCAGCAGCCTTCAAGGCATCAAGCTGCTTTTCTATGTAATCATATTGAGTAGCAAAACTGTCCACCTGTTTGAAAGGAGAACTAACACAACATTAACATGAAAGCACCACGAAGTAAACATTAAATCAACAATTTTAACCTCTTTTTGACTCTTTGCTAGTTCCAGTTCAAGATGAGATTCAGCTTTTTCACAGGTATGATAACGTTTTGCAGCATCATTGATCCTCTGACGCAAGCTTTTTAGCTCATCCTCAAGCTCAGAATATTCTTTTTTGGCAGCAATGATAGCATCACTAGAAACACTCATTTTGATTGATGTTCCCATCTTGCCACCTCGTGGCTTGCTTCCACCACCACTCATTGTACCAGACTTTTCGAATAATGCACCCTCAAGGGTCACAACACGGCGAAATTCTCTATCATCGCCATATGCAATCCTAGTAGCCTGAAAGATATTAAGGGCGTTCTTCAAAATCAATTTTTCAATATATATATGGAAAGCCACAAAAGGCTATGTTAATGCAAGATGAAACGTCCTGGTTGCTCGTTGCAAGATCCATCAAGTATGACAAAGCAGAACACCTAAACATTAGGCATCTTTTAGTGTAACCATTGGTCATAAAATTTTGGATCACTACTGAAATATCCTGAGAAAATTCACCAAGAGGACAAAACATCATGGCTTTGTTGGGATAAAACATATAACACTTCAATACATAATAATTTAAACTATGAAAAATAATACTAAAGCAATATATTAACTGCAAGATGGGAGCTAAGTATCATAGAGAACAAAATGCTACACTATGGGAGCCATCACTCGAGTATATATAGAAGGATTCTCATTAAAAAAAAAGAAAAATACTAATTATTTTCTTATTCATGGGAAGAGCGGATAAAAAATACTAAGCAAACGGCTTATACAAGTTAAGATTGTCATCAATAGCCAAGTTGGCAGAACACACGACTGAAGGGCATTACATCTGCCAAAGGAGGTGCGTGCATAGCTGGGGAAGCCAGCTGGAAGATTATTGGTGCTAAAGATTTCAAAGGTAGAGCAAAATAAAAATTTTCATACTCCCCCTTAAGAAGGAAATATAAGTTGATCAATTTTAGCTTGGTGGTAAAGTTATCCAAATGTAATTGATAAAAAGTTTTCATAAGTTATCAACAATCTAAAGTTTTGCTAAAGTAAAATTTGTTTGAATGTTTCCATTATCAAATTTCTTATTTATAAAGTGTTTATTAATTTCAACATGCTTATTTTAATCATGATGGACTTTATAAGCCATTGTAATAATAGCTTGGTTGTCAATCCTCATTATCATATGTTCATCATGGAATTATTTATAGCTTAACAAAAAAATTTCAAGAGTTAAGCACTCCTCCAAGCTGCCAAAAATAATTTTGTAGCTTCTCCATGTAAATAAATTTCCCATATAAATGAACAATAACAAAAATGTGGCTTTTCACCTATTGCAAATCCAACCTAGTCAACATCAATGAAGATTTTAATACCTATGCTAGTCCCATTATTCTGAAGAATAACCCATTTACAGGTACCCTTTTGAGATATATTAATAAGTATATTATATCAGGGTGCTTCTTCCTAGATTTATTCATAAACCGACTAATAACACTAACAAAAAAGAAAATATCAAGTCTAAGTGTGAGTTAATCGTGAAAGCCTTCCTTTGTCAATCGAGGTTGAATCTTCTTCACTCACAGCTTCTTTATTATATCCAATATCTGGTTTACATTCAAGAATAACAATTTTTTATAGTAAGTTCAATATGTACTTCTATGAAACGGATGCTCACTTGGTTGATCATATTAATTTCTTGCCAATAAAATATTTTAAAATGCCCGACATCCTTGAGTTCAAATTCTTTGATAAGAACACATTTTAGTTGTTGCCTTTCATGACCCTACAAGAAGATGATGTCATCTACATAAAAAAATCATGATAAAAAATTTACTTTAAAATGATTTTTGGTAAATAAAGTGTGGCTAGACAGTCCTTGAGAATAGACATGCCTTCTAATTACCATGGTGATTTGTCAAGTCAAGCTCTCAGTGATTATTTTAAGCCATATATGAATTTCTTGAGTTTGCAGGCTTTAATCAGTTTGCTCTTAATATCAAATCAAATAGATATTAGCATATAGCTTTATCATATAAATTCTCATTTAGGAAGACATTTTACATTTAGGAGTGTGTAGTGTCCCATTGTTGTTACCAGGGGAGAGGAATCCAAGAGCTAAAAAGAGGCATAGGAAACGAAAAGCTGAGTAAGGGAGAGAGGAAACGAGGGCAGGTCGGGAAGCCGAAAGTTACTTTCGCCCAATAAAGATATGTGCTTGAAGGTGGCAGAGGTGAGATGTACTTACCTGGGAGTCGAGCGGCATGCGAAGGAGAGGAGGACGGCGCAAGAAGAAGAGTTGGCGTCAAAGATTTTCGTTGTTGGGTTGAAGCAAGATGCCGAGTCGAGTGCAGAGCAAATAACATGAGGAAGAAGGGAGCCAAAGCCCAAGGAGAAAGGAGTGGCTCTCAAATTTAGTGTGGGAAGGAAGAGGAAGAAGTTCGGCTCACTGCATTTTGTCCAAGTCGAGCCGCACACGAAGTATGTTTGTGTACGAGCTTCATGTAGGTTCAAATAGAGAATAAAATAATGTGGCTTCAAGCAGAAGCTCATGCACGTACGAGTAAGGGAGGCGTTGAGTGTATAAGGTAAGTAATATTAATGTCTATATTTATATAAATTAGTTAATTAAATTAATTACTATTAAGTTTTATTAATATTTTTAGAAATTATTTTAGTGATTAAATAGAAAAGCAAGTGCTCAAGAATATATTCAGTTTGGTTCATAAGCGAAAGACAGGGTGAAGAAAGGCATGATTTTATAATTGCATGCTTTAATCATATATATGACTAATAAAAAAAAATTCATGAATTAATGTCGTGATTAATTTTGACGAGCAGTGGAATTAAAAGAAAGGATGATCAAACTTATCAACCAAACAAATTTTAGTAAGGAATTAAAGAAGAAAGAATAAAAGAATTTGAAAAAGTCATTTCATAAAGTGAAATCAAGGAGAATATTCATGTTCTTATTCTATGGTAATATTTTATTTCTTCTAAATCAAATGCATTTACTAGTATTGCAAATAGTTATATTGAAAATACTCCAAATTCAAGATTTTGAATTCTAATAAATTTTTATTCATATTGTAAGAATGATATGTGTGCACGACATTATTTAAATTATAATAAATATTGAAAGATTTATAAATATATTGTCTGTTATGCAAATGAAAATGAATTATTATTTTAATAAATAGTGATTTTTTTATAATGTTTGTATGTGCATTACTGACTATGATGAAGTGACTTTTTATGGTATGAGTGTGTGAATGCTAATTTAACGTATACGTAACTGGGAAACGATAATGATATTGAAATACATTCAGTGATATAATTTTTAGACGGTGCTCCTGTGATATTTATACAAATATAGAATGATATAGATATACTATTGATATAGTAATATTCATTGAATATCATTAAATAATAATATTAATTTATTAAAAACTTAACTGGTATGTATTTTTTTTTCTTTTGTATTGTATTACTGTAATTTAGAAGTATGAGTATTCGCTAACGTTGTTTAGCTTACTATTGTTTAAACTAACATTACATGCTTAATTAAGTGATTAAAATATGAACAATAGAGAGGAAAATAGTTACAGTGTGTGGACGACCAATAATAAGATAAACTGCTTTAATTTACTTTGAAAAGTAGCTCTTTTATTTGTTCAATAGTAAATTAATATAGAAAACTTAGTTCCACCGTCTAACCGTACATATCGATCGTAGTTAATTCCAACTCTCGGGTTGGATTATGACATAATGGTGAATCTCAATTTGTAAAAAAAAAACATTGAAATGTTTACCACAACGAATGGGATAAATAATTCTGAAAAGATAATTCGTCTACTTTGACATTGTTTATCAATCTAAATTTTCTTACCTTTAGCAAGTATTTGAAACTTCCAATACCAATTCTCCCAAGGGCCTGAATTTCTGCATAAACTACATTTCAAATCACCTCGAAAAATATTTCAAATTTCCAAGCTTAAAAGATTTCCCATAAATGCCAATAACTTAGAAGAAAATTTGTCATGAGAAATATGATGCTTGATCGAACAATTCACAAATGTTCTTAAACTTTTCCTAAGAGTGACAATGGAAATTTTTAGATCATCTTCGAAACTGATATTACCTTGTCTTTTGAAACATCATTAAGTCTCAAGTTAGAAATTCAATTTGGTTATGGATAAATGCTTTGTTCTACCTTGTTAGTTGAATTTTAAATTGGCTAGAATAAACAATCCCTTAAAGAATTTGAAGGACTGAATTTTGGTGGTTGTGACTCAAGAAGATTTCGTAGAGAAGTAGGTTGAGAAAAAAAAATATAACTTCTATAACTGTAAAACTAAAATTCAAGGAGAGATTAGATATTCTCCCAAGAATGTAAATGATTGCCTTTCAAACAAGATTACATCCACAGGGGTGTAATATAGTTTTACGTTTGCCGAAGAGCTGTGAATTTAACTCAAATTTCATTAATCGCCGATAAAATATTTGAATTTTGGCTCGAATTGAAATAAATGAGCCGAGCAATGAGCAAAAATTTTGGATCGAATATTCCTCAAGTCGACCGTAGCTTGGCTCGAAATCAGATTATTAACAGCCATAATAATGTTTGAGTTATGAATTTAACGAATTTAGCTGGAAAATTGTTAATCGCTCGGTAATTGATTTGAATTTTGACTCAGATTGAGATCTCGAAATAAATAAACCTACAAGTCAAAATTTTGGATCAAATTTGATCCAACCCGATTTTGAGTCGATCTTGGCTCTGCTCAAAATCAGATCATTAACAACCCTAGCGAGGAGAATAACATTTGTAACCATATTAGTGAACAAAGTGGCCAATAAAAATACATTTTAAACCTTTTTGATCTACTTTATTTTCCTTGAAAATGAGAAATATACACAAAAGTAGAGCACTTGAACACCTTGAGAGGAATTATAGAGATATGTCTGCAGCTAGGATTCTTTTAGACCAATGCCTACGACGTTGTCTGCCAAATAATTTAAAAATTTATATTAGGCACAAGACTAAAATAAAAATTTAGTCATTTTTTTAGTCATTAGTATGGGATATAAATACGGCTTAATATGTTTAAGATTATGTTTAAGTGTGATTGTTGTCTTGAATCTTAAGGTTAGGGCATGGGAGAGATTGCCTCAGATTTCAGATGTTTAGTTTTATGTATTCGGGATTGTATTATTTTGATTTGGCGCCAGCGGATTAAAATCTATTATTTTTTCCCTAATTTCTCTTGAAACTTGTCTTGTTCATATCAAATTGGTATCAG